GCGTACGCTAGCGTGACGCTGGTGACGCTGGGAACGCTAGATCGATATGCATCCTCTCCCCGGCACTGCCGCTGGCGTACGCTGGAAGCGCTACGCTACGCTGCCGCAAAGTATAAACGCAGCCTAACGGAAGAGCTAGCATACACTATGTGTTGGATATGCTGTAGACTATGAGCTTCTTCGCAGAGAACGCGTTTCACATTGATGAACATTTGATGGTGCCCATCGTCCATACGAATCGGCATCGCTGCAGTGACCACGTCGGCTGCACGGCGGACGAGCTCGCGACTGTCATATTGGAATGAGCCGCACAGCGCTTGGAATACCTAGGCAAAAAGAGAGTATGGATGCAATAGCTGTCACAGTATCCAACCAGAAAGCAGGAAGATCGCACCTGCAGGACAATCTTCCTGTTTATCGTGAATTTCTGGACGATATGCGAAATGAACAAGAAGCCAGTGTAACGAAGTGTAGCGTCTTGTCTGTTCGTTGGAGTGAGGCATGACCATGCGAACAGCATGAAGACGCGTAGTCGCCATCCATGTTTCCTAGAAATTCGTTGATAATCAGAAGGAACACCAGTTCGAGAGCGCTGAGTACCACCAAAGTACTACGTAATGGCTGTAGAAAAAAACCCTATCTGGTTTATAAGAAGCAAGCGCGTATAGGGCGCACCTGCGGCGCACCGAGAGCACCCAAAAACCTTCTCGACTACCTTCCATCGAAATATCTTTACCCCAAGCAAAAGCAAAGAGCCAACCTTCACATCTCAGCGCAAGGGTTGGCGCTTTTGGCTGATCGAGGATCTGTGTGGACGAAATGTACGAGTGATGATGCCGAATGGGTGTTCACTACACTCTCGTTCGCTGCGGAAAGAGGGGCGTGCCATGAGGGATGGGTTTCGCGCAGCGCCAAACCCGTTTTCCACCAGTTGTTGGAGCGAGCAAACGATAACGCTGAATCGTATCGTCGTAGACGTCTGCCACCAATTGTTGTCGCTTACCCGCTCCAAAACTGGTGATAATGGGCTTGGCGAGTCAAAGGTTCCTAGCTGACACGCCCCTTCATCCGTAGCGAACAAGACTGGTGCGCGGCTTTTTCTGGAAGGATTAATAATTGCCCACTTTTTCCATGTGAAGCTTTGGTGAGAAAAGGCACGCTCTGAACACACAAAGCAGTCTTCCAGAACCCCAAGCCGCCTCTACTTGAAGGAAGTGGATGGCAGGTTAAGAGGCTTTCGGCGGTTCACGTGGGAGGGGTTTTTAATTGTCTCTTCCCTTGTGGCCAGACCACCCTTCTAATTCACTGTGAACGAAAATAACTGCCTTCACCAGCTTCGAAACTGCGGTCTTTTCACAGCGAGATCCTTCGTCGTAAGTAGAAAATGATACTGACCTACATCGTAGAATTGCACAAAATCAAGTCCGAAAGAGGTAACTCACTTAGAATCATTATTATGAACATGCCGTGGTGCATGCTTTACAAGGAGTGTGCAGAGCTGATACAAAACTATTACAATACCATCGCTCATGACTTGTCGGTTTTGATCGATTATCTGCAATAGTTCTAGTGAGCACGCTGTAAAGTACACCCCTTATCCCTGAGGCGGAGTAGGGTAGTATCTGAACACGGCTTAGATGGAGTACTCGTGAAAAATTTCAGGTTCGAGACAACTGCCATCTTGTTCAGTGTTGGACAGAGGCATGACACAGCTGGGTCAAAATGAAAATATCTCACCAAAAGCGCAGCAACCGCTTCGTTTAGTTGAGGTAGGCAGCTATGCCTACCACATCTCAAGAGATTTCGAGTGCAGTCAACCATTCCAATCTCTTCTTGGTACGGTATAGCATCTTTGAGAGCATCCCATCAGTAGGTCGCACTTGGTCATTGGGGAGGTGATTTCACCAGAGGAGCGACTTTGAGAGGAGGTGATGTGGGGGAAGTTGAACTAATAAGCATTTCAATCGCGATGCTGTACCCCGCTTCTTGGTGCGCCCTTTTTTGAGAACGGTTAAGGGGGGAGCGGGCCGATGAAGTCAGCACAATAGTTCACTGTGACAACCCTTACGAACAGAGTGGACCGCACCTTACGAGCAATACTCGAATCAAATAGAAAAGCGAAAGTAACCTACATGTGCCAGACGATACACCAAATCATTAGGATCATTTTCCGGTTGCTCAGATGGATTTTGTATTTCGCCGAGAATCTGTAAAATCCATTATCGTATACAATGCTACAGAAGAACTCAGAAGTAAACCCACCTCATCGACGTTATAGCGCTCAAAAGCCCATTGTAGACTAGGTATCAGCACATACTGTACGATTTTCACGTACAAAAGATCTTTTATTACAGTCGAGCCGCCAGCTTCAAACTTTCCCAACACGTATGAGAACAGTTTTCGTCGCCACTCCATGGAATATGTCTAGATACCAGCCATTTGTCCCAATGAATACTGAACAACGGAGTCCGTACCTACCGGTATCACTTCTCTTTCAAGGAATTCGCGAACAAAAGAGAAGTCTGTGACATATCTTCCTATGAACACAAACAGTATGTCGCAAAGCAAATCAAGATCATTATTGTTGTGTCTGAAAGCAGGCGATACAACGTAACAGAATCGGTCCCCAAAAAGAACCTAGACGTAATTCTCTACTCTGTACCTGTAGTGTCGAATGAAACAGTTCACAAGGAGTCTTGGAACCTTATACTTGTGTTCTGTCATCGCTTTGATCGTCAGTTCCAATAAATCTTTATTACACGGCGCATGAACGACATAACGTCCCTTGAAATCAGCATTGTTCCACAACTGAAATGGACCACGTTAATGACTGAATGTTCAACCCATTCAGTTCCGGTCCGTTGCCAATAAGGGATATTATTCCAGTTGGGAACGGGCTAAGAGAGAGATCATTCTCTCATTATGTACGACAAAACTGAATGATGAGTTCACAATTTCCAGTGCAACCACAAAATTCCCTCAACTGTTGACTGACCTGTCTCAGTTTGATTACCAGATCTTTGGCACCGGCAAACCATTGAACGTTTCTTCGCGAAACAGCATCAATTATGTGCAGGCAAAGCATTTCACGCTCCATAATTCCCGATTCGTTCTGTTGTGCAGGAGACGGTTCCCTCCACTCACCAGAAACGTCCTGAAACTTCAAACCAGTCCACTCGTTTGGACCTATATCGAGTACAAACAGTAGGAAATCGGAAACTAGTAGTAACTTCCAGGTGCAGCACTTGTGACAACACCAAAATCCTGCAGCGAATACATAATCAGATATAGAAAACAATCACAAGGGAGAGGGCGCAGACAAGTAGCACCCTTGGCTATGGTCAGGCATGTGACTGGCCAGCTGACAGCGCGAGTGTAGTCGGCAGACCGCATTGAAGAGTCATTATGCAGCCCCGTTCCCTGTACCTTTGAGCAGAGAAAGCGGCACGCTACTGCAGCTGTAGGTCCACTGCAGTAGAGTGCTGCTTTCGCTTTCGCTTTTGTGCCCGCGAAACGTTACGGTTAATAGTGCCGCGGGCAGTCGGGGGCAGTTTGAAAGAGCGATGGAATGAACCCACCAACAGTGGTTGTTTTCATCTTGGATCAATCACTAAACGGCCCCTATTGGTAGAGCGAAACAGCCGGAGCGGACCTATTTCGCCTCTCCTAACACTTCGCCGACTGATTGAGACGTTATCAGCTATGCCTACGTCGTCATCCATGCAGTTATCGTAGACTGCGCCTTTGGAATGATCAGCTATCGCACCAGTCATCACACAACCCCTCCCTCGCCCACTTTCCACAAAAATTCAAAGCTAGCACAAAAGCACCACATTTCTTCGGATCCAACTCAACTTAGTCAGAACATACCATGACTCTGTTTTCCAGCAAGTTCACAAAATATGACGAATCCTGCATGAGTAGGGCCCGTATTGGAGAGCATTCCTCGTCTTTAATAAGCTTTCTTAATAGAGCTCTTCGACATGACATCGAAAGAGACTCTTCGGACAAGAAGAACGCCAATGACTCTCGAGCGTAGCGCGACAGCAAAGTAGCCAGAGGCGGAATCCATGCATCATATGCCTAAACACAGAGCAATAGACTACTATTTTACACATGTTCAAGGAAAAAGCCTACTCAACAGCGCCACTTTCACTTCTGAGACTTCAACGCTTAATTTTTTGATACCTAACCCTCAAAGACCGTGAGAAAGAACTCCGTCCCGAAAACAGAAGGGACAAAGATGGACAAGACGAAAAAAAAATAAATCCCAAGGGAAAACTCACACTTGTGCAGTAGTGATGGTCGAAATAGGCTATGAAAGCGGTGATATCCGTGGCTAGTTTGGACCCAGACGGGTCTTCAACAAGAAGTAACAGACGAACTGTCTGTGTGATTGCTTCCACATCCTGACCGTCAAGTTGTGCAGCTGATGCAGGAGATGATTCAAGAGGGAATCGAGTAACGTGGCCGCAAATGTAGCTCTATATGCGACTTGTTATGTATTACAGATTAATAAAGATAAGGATAAGAATGACACTTACAACGAGATTCGTCGCCAAAGTTATGTCGAAAAGTGAAGTATTCAAACGAATGAGACGATATAATTGAGCGACTGTCCCAGCGTTGCGATTTTCGTTTTCCGACTCACGAAACAGTTCGAACACCGGTTCTCCCACAATTTGCACACATTTCGCGTCGACTGGGGAAATCTAAAAGAAACCCCATGGGTGAATCGTCTTCAAGCTCCCTGTCTGAATCTCACCTGCATGAGTGCTTCTTCAGCGGCCTTCACTACAGCCGGAATTGGACAGAGGATCGTTCCGATGGTGACACAAGCGATCTTCTCTAGCGTTACATCAAGTTCTTTCGTAGTTGTGGCAGACGATGACGTGTCCATCTTTTGGAAGTCAGCGCTCTCAGAGTGCACTATTAGCGCTTTGTACAAAGTCACGAGAGCTTCTGCAATGACCATCGATCTTTGACTGTAACATTCCTCACATTGAAATTTTTTTACATGCAAAGATGAAAGGATACAGAAGCTGGATGGGAACTCTTAAAACATACAAAAAGGTGAATAACAGGTGTTTCCCAAAATAATCCCTTTACATTTAGTATAATAGAAACACTAACTGATGGCCAGGATTTTGTAGTATTCAGCCTTTTCGCTGACAGTGTACGGTGGAAGGAAATGTGCAGGGCAACCGTCCATGGATTTGAATAGTTCACTGAAAATTCTTTTTTGCACAAAAACTACTTTGTAGTCATTATCCATGCAAATGAGGGGGCGTGTGAGGGAGAGTACAGTCCTCATCATTGCGGACCGGTGGGGCGTGGCAGTGCGGCTGCGTTTGGTGCGGTTTGGCAAAGTCGTTCTGCACCAGTTTTTGAAGCGGGCAAGTGCATTACTGTATTATATCCTTCGTATTACTCGTTTTCTACCACTTTTTGTCGCATACGCGTTTCAACAAAAAGGCTGAGAACGGCTTCAACAGTGTGCACTCCTTCTGGCTGACACGCCCCACCGGTCCGCAATGATGAGGACTGTACACTGTAAAGCAGTAATAGACGGCCT